GCATACCAGATCTCTATTACCTTTTTCTTTTGACTTTAAAAGTGAAAATGGGTTAAATAGATAGGACTAATCGTATTTTCCGAGCGATAGAATTTGTGAATTTGTTGAATTACGGTTGAGAAAAAAATGTACCCACGCCATTTTGGATCTTCAGAGGAATAAAGGGTGCCTCAACAATAACTATTCTTGAGGATTAATCGATCCCTTAGAACTGATTAAAACACCTTATAAATTTATACCATCAAAATTCGAAAGATTTACCATAATTCCTCTTCGGTGGTCAACTTTGTCTTTTTCTGACAGTTAGGACTTTTTTAAGCAATATTTTTTTTAACGAAAATCGAAAACTATATGACAAAGATATATTGTTGTTTTAACAAAATTTCTGTTTTGTTTCCCTGTTTTACTCTGTTATACTTAATGCACCACTTCCATGCACAAATACCGTTTACGGTAGCTCAGTGCTGGCTCCGTGATCGGGAGGTCGTGAGTTCGTAACTCGGCCGCCACTGACCTAGTCGATGAAATGTGTAGCAACTGTTCGTTCGCCATGCGCTCAGGCCTCTGAAGTGAAAGTTGCGGGTCCTTCGGATAAGACCTAAAAAAACCAAGGCCCTGTGTCAGCCAACTAAAAAAACAGGAAAGAGAAGTTGTCCTCGCAGAAGTTCAGTACTGTATATGAATTACTATGTCATCACTCCATCGATTTATGTTACCTCAATAACCTGGTTTTATACTTGAAAGCTTTAATATAGGGAAAGGGCCTAGCGATGGGTCAGACAAAAAATGTTGTTTTGAACATATCTTATTGACAATCAAAAGGATAAGAAATAAGGTCTTAAAACCTACCAGTTCTTCTTCCTTGGAATACATAGTAATTATAAAAATAACAAAGAATATGAAAATAAATGTCAAAATATATCTAGATAAATCTGCAAAATTTATTTATGAAATAATGAACAGCGGCAAAACTGCCAAAGTTTAATTCTTATGAACGAATGTGTGCACTTTCTTTTTCTAAAAAAAAGAATGCTTTCTACTCTATAATTTATGATAAGCTTATACGTCTTAATATTTGAAAGGAAAGAAAGGAATTGCAATACAAAACTGAGAAATTAGATCGTAAAAACACAATTTAAATACAAATACAAGAAGGGGCAGTGATGTAATTTGTCAACATTTAAAAGCTGTCAAATGAAATTCATTCGCAAACAGTTTTTAGCTCACCTGAGCCAACGGCTCAAGTGAGCTTTTCTGATCACATTTTGTCCGGCGTCCGTCTGTTTGTCTGTCTGTCTGTCTATCTGTCCGTCTGTCTGAAAACTTTTCACATTTTCGACTTCTTCTAAAGAACCACTGGGCCAATTTCAATCAAACTTGGCACAAAGTATCCTTGGGTGAAGGGGGTTCAAGTTTGTTCAAATAAAGGGCCACACCCTATTCCAAGGGGAGATAATTATGAATTAGAGAAAAATTCATGGCATTTTAAAAATAATCTTCTTCTTAAGAACCATTGGGCAAGGAAAGATGGAACTCATGTGGAATCATCATCAGGTAGTGTAGATTCAAGTTTGTTCAAATCATGACCCCCGGGGCAAGGGTGGGGCCAAAATGGCCGACCCAAATTTTACATAGGAATATATAGGAAAAATCTTTAAAAATCTTCTTCTCCAGAACCACTGGACCAGGAAAGATGGAACTCATGAGGAATCATCCTCAGGTAGTGTAGATTCAAGTTTGTTCAAATCAGGATCCCCGGGGCTAGGGTGGGGCTAAAATGGCCGACCCAAGTTTTACATAGGAATATATTGGAAAAATCTTTTAAAATCTTCTTCTCCAGAACCACTGGATCAGGAAAGATAAAACTCATGTGGATTCATCCTCTGGTAGTGTAGATTCAAGTCATGACCCCCCAAGGCTAGGGTGGGGCCAAAATGGCCGACCCAAGTTTTACATAGGAATATATAGGGAAACCTTTTAAAATCTTCTTTTCACGTACTTCAAAGCTATGATATGTGATATTTATATGGAATCATCCTCAGGTAGTGTAGATTCTAGTTTGTTCAAATGATGATTGCCGGGGGGGGGGGTAAATTCAAGCGTAATGTGCTCAGGTGAGCGCTATGGCCCCTAAGCCTCTTGTTCAAGATTTTAGCGGGGCTATTTTTATTTCACAGAGAAGACACATAATATTAAATATAAGTAACAAGGAAATACATGTAATTAAATAAAACTCTTATAGGAATCTTCCTTATACTTTTTCCAGGTCAAGACTTAGGATATAAGTTTATGGAGAACCCAATAAATCTTTATCTAATTGACGTATCTGTGTCAAAAATATCTAAATGTATAAATAAAATAATGTCAAACTGTTAAAGCATCATTCTTATTTGATTTTTTATCAAGGCTAAGAATTTGAACAATTTTAATACTAACAATAACTTTTATCTATATCATGATCATGTATATGGACTTCTGTCTTATAATTTAAATTTGTAATTCAAACAATTTTTATACTTCATGAAACATAAAAAAGACTTTTATTTCTATCACTTCAGGGAATTAAGTAGGTGACCATTTGATTCTGAAGAGAGGGGATGAGGTTAAAGAATAATCTGGGCTCGAAAATGTTAGAAGTTAACCTTTTTTTCATCGGTTGGAAAAAGAAATTAGGTAATCCGTTCCTTGACCAGAGCTTATCTCCGCCTCTCCCAAATTAGAATTTTGGACTATAGCAATGACGAAAATGTCCGTTATCTAAATATACAGAAATGAAATGTCCTCCAAGCCCCGACATTGAAATGAAAAATAAATAATTTGATATGGCAAACATTGACAGCCCCTTTCCCACCCCAACAGAACTCTTTGTTCCCTCAGATTCAAAAGGTCGACCCAATTTTCTTTTTCACAAATCAGCATCAGCATCGTCATAATAAGTATCAATATTCGATAAAATTCAGGATCAGTATATTAAAACGAGCATTACGTAGTTCAGATCGGCATAATCAATTGGATAAAATCTCTTGCTTAAATCGGCAAAGTTGAAATTCAATTGTCTACATCCAGTAGCATAATGCTAATACCTGTAGCATTGCTTTATTGTAAACAGCAAAAGGTTCAACAGAAAAAGGATATAGCTGTAGGATTCCAAAGTGCAATGGAATCGAAAGTCCGATAGTCACGCCAAAGTCCGTTGGTGTATCTGCGTCAAACACCAATGGTTTGACGCGCCAAAGTCCGATGGCACAGAAAGCAATTAAAGTTTATGAAGTCATAGTACTACTGCCTATAAATGAGAAACCACGCCAAGCCAATAAATGAATACAAAATATAATGAATACAAAGACTAGCCCTCTTGTTTCGGATGTAGCTGCGAAACTAAGACATCAGTCGAACAAAGAATACCAACTGTAACCTAAATATCATAGATGGCTGCGGGACTAATCTAAATCAGTCCAATAGTGTGCGAGGACTAACCCTAAAATCTCTCGGCCGGGTTCAAAGAAACAAATTAATTTTCAAAGACTAACCCTTATCACTCGAAAGGTGTAGGAGGATTAACCCTACTACCTCTTGTGGATGAAAACAAATAAATTCGGTAAAAATGAATGTGAGACGAATACTGAATCACTGGATTTTAAATGCAGAATAACGTCATGACGTTGGACAATTGTTTCATCATAAACGTAAATTGTTTCTCCACACCATCGGTCTTTTGCATGTCATAGCATCGCAATTTAGCATCGCGCGTCTCATAGGCAAAGAGCCAACGGACTTTGGCGTGACAAACAGACTTTGGCTTCTGTAAAGACAATGAGCCATCGGGATTTGGCGTCACCATCGGACTTTGGAGTCCTACATATATAACTAGCATTGAATCAAGAGAGCAAATGTAGCATTAAACCAGCTAACAACATTTCTTAAATAATAAAATTGTATAATAAAATTAGTTATATACACTGCTCACGCCAAGAATATAGAGACGAAGTTATGAGAATTGTCTCCAAGACCAGTTTGAAATCGGATGATCGAATGATACGAAGTATTTCCCAGTTATATAAATCCTTTCGAATTCCAATGGTTTCCAGAAGCTAATTATCCATGTGGAATCATTTCTGACACCTCTAAAAACTTTCAAATTCAAAAGAATCAATAGGCTCCGCTTCCTCTGTCTGTAATTATATTGTGATTCAAGTTTTTCCTTTTACAGAACGCGAAGTTTTCGTGTTAGTTATATGGATTAAAGTCTATAATTTAATACAAAAAAAGGTTAAGCAGGCGATTATTGTGAATAATTAAAAAATTAAAACGTAAAATGTACAAAAAAAAATTAATGACACATCTTAAAATTCTGAGATTGACCTCTTATCTAGAGATTAATAGGTAATATTGGAAGAAGAGATTTAATTTAACAGATCAATGTGTCTAAATAGAAATGTACAATATATTTCGTTTCAAAAATACGCGACTGCAAAAACGCATTCATACTTGGATATGTGTTTAAATACTAAAATTATTTTGAATTACACAGGTTTTTATTACCTATTATTTATTTACAAATTAACTAAATGTGTATGAGAGTAAAGTAGTGAACTTCTGAAGTAAATGATTTCCATCAGAAAGGAACTTTAAAAAAAATACATTTATCCAACCAATGCATTACAAAAATTGACCAGAGTTAAAAATATTTTGAAGGATTATTATTAGACTTGCCATGTCCTTCTGTAAAATTGTAATAACGCTTTGAAAAAGCCCAGTTTGGCCGTTCCCTCTCTCTCTCTCTCTCTCTTCTACATTGGGTTCCTTAGAAAAGACATGTGGATCTATTTTTTTTTAAATGAGATTAGTACATGTTTATATTTAAATATTAATATTTCATCAAAACTTTGGTTTTCATGATGAAGTGAGTCATAATTTTTTTTTAAAAATCAGAAAAAAAACTTGTTTTTTTTTTTTTTTTTTGATATCATTGAAAATTACTGACAAACATTGTGAAACATAAAAATAAATAGTATTTACTAAGACTTCTTTTCCTTTTTTCCACATTTTTCACTTAATTTAACAAAGTACAAAATAAATGAACCAAGTGATAAATGACGTCGTTATGAAACTTTCCTGAATTCTTATGATAAAGTCAATAATGTAATCATACATTTGACATTGAATCCTTTTTCTACATTTTGTTTTTCACATATACGTACTAAAGAATTATGAATATGTAAATAATTGATATCTTTGACGAAACTTGTATTCAAAACGTCGAAGTTCTTTACGTACCACAATAGTACAAGTGAACATTCTGAGAGGGACGTACATCAACAAACAAACAATCAATCATACTTATAATATTAATATTTCCTTAATTACAATAAACAAAATATATCTTTACAGAACATTAACGTTACAGTACACCCATATATAAAGACTGTGTAATAAAACATACGGATACATAAGGATAAAAAAATCCATAGTATACATGTTGCAAAATGTTTGAGAATATTATTTAAGCATGTCGTAGTTAGAAGGCGAACAGAAATCTCCAAGTTCTTGATATTCGTCCTTAAAATTATTTTCATATTCAACCATAGATATTGAAGTGGTTTTAGCACCCTTTTCACGAAAAGAGGAAGTACTTGAGAAATTACTCTTTCTGCAAATGATTCCTTTAAACCTGCAAATTATATTAGATATACAGATGAGAATGATATTTGAATGAAATTGTCAAACCATTGTCAAATTAATATAAAAAACAAACGAACCTTTTTACTATTTTGTATACTGCAAACAGTCCGATAAGGAAAAATAAAACACAGGACGCACCGAAAGCAGAATACACTTGTGTAGTGAGATTTTCCACTTTACTCTTTATTTGGTCATCCTCCATATCTTTAAAGAAACTGGGTTCTTAGTAAATTCTAGATTTAAGCCAGATTTATTACGAGTTTATAACAGGAATTTACTGATTACGTTACATACCTTGCATACAATCCTTTCCGTGCCACCCCTTTTTACAGCCGCCTCGACAAATTCCCGAAGCATGATGGCAATCACGTGATTTTTTGCAATAGAGACTACACTCTTGTTCACAGTTTGTACCAAAATATCCAAGCATGCAGACTAACAAATCCATGAGAAATTATCAAATAAAATGAAACGGTTTCGAAAAAAGTTCATTGCTTCAGTGGGCATGTTTAATTTGAACATAATTAATTTAGGAGTAAATGAAGTGTCATATAAAAATATGGCATTTGGTTTACAATATGCAGAAAATAGGTTTGTCCTAGAATGTTGAAACATATGAATCAGTATACATGTACCTTCATCACATTTATCCCCACTGTATCCAGGTTCACATTTACTCTGACACGAACCGTTGATATGGTGACATTGTTTCCCGTTCAAGCAGTGACCACAACTCACATTACATCCTTCTCCGTAAAAGTTATTCAAACACTCTGATGATTAACAAAATATTGATAAAATGCACTCTTGTACAGTTGTCTTATTACTAATAAGATAATACAATGATATAGTTGATATAAAAATGAGCTAATTATATGTATGAGCTGAGTTATTATTTTTTTGGTTATTTTCCTTACCTTCTAAACAGAGTTGTCCTTGCCAACCTGGATGACAACCATTTTCACAATTCCCATTTAGTCTGTTACATCCTTTACAAGCATTTGCTGCACTTTTGGACACAGTCTTCTCCAAAGTATCCATCACTGCATGCTTTCATTTTGAGATATTTTTTAGATAAATTATATGATTAAAGATTTCATACACTTTAATGGCTCTTTTTTCTTATTTTTATCATCACAACTCAGTAAGGCTTCATCAATAATTAAAATATTAGTATCATACTATTATTGCAGGTATCTCCTTTATATCCTGCAATGCATCCATTCAGGCATTTTCCATTTATCGGTGACAATCCTCCATTCCTTTACAATGCCCACATGTCATGCTACAATTCTTGCCAAAGAATCCATCAATGCACTCTGAAATATTGACATACATGTATATGGATGTTTCAAACAATATCTCAATTTATTACACAATCAGTAATAAATACAGTTTTTTTGCATATGCGATATGGATCAATATCACACCCTTAGTAAATTAAACCACAAAACAGTACTTGTGATCATACACAATTTTTGGTGGGTACATTTTCACTTTATTTTGACTTTTTGAAAATAAAGTTAAACTTAATTTACAAATACATGTAATAGATTATTTTGAAATAACGGATCGAGTGCATTGAAATAAAAGTAGAAACAAACTCAAACCGTATTAGAAAATGAACTATGTACATGACTGTAAGAAGTTCATGCATGACTATTTATTCATTTTCTTCTCAACTTAATGTATGCTGTATTTTATTACTAAGTATGTATTAAACATATTAATGCATACCCTTTTCCACATCACATCTTGTATCAGCCCGAGACACCAATATCAGCCAGAGGGTTGATATTGGTGTATCGAGCTGATACATGATGTGATATGGAAAAGGGTATGTGTTATTCTCTATATACAATATATAGAGGATATAATAAAAAAAAAATGCCAAATTTCACAAAGCAATCCCATAATGAATATTAGGTCAATTTTTTGCATTGTAAGGGTACGATGAGAAGAGATTTAAAATTCACAGGTCAAGTTGGCCTAGTGGTAAAGCGTTTGCTTCGTGAAAGGGAGGCCTGGGGATCGATTCTCGTTTTACGTACCGCGTTATACTTAAGACGTAAACATGGTTTGTAACTGCTCCTTCGGCAAGCGCTCGGCATAATGAATAAAAGCCATCTGTCTTTAAGATATGAATTTAAAAACGTGGGTTCATTTGTCGATGTAGATAAAGATATTAAAGAACCATCAATGCTCAATGGCTCTAAGTGCAAAGTATAGGTCTAGGTTTGAATATGGTGACGTCTATATACGAGTAAAAAATTCTCGAATGAGAATATACATAAAATTTAATAAATCATAAGACCTTTTTTTTACATTAAATTACACTATAAACATTCCTCTTTGTTTTATACATATTTGGAAATAGATCTTAGGAAAAAAAAATGAAATTCAAAGCGCAGTTCTTTTTTTAATACCAACGTTACAATGCTTCACATTCATGGCAGTAGTCTCCTTTCCATCCTGGATGACAACCAGATTCACATTTACCATTAGTTGTGTTACATCCATAGCAAGTCTCGTTGCATTTAACATGGCAGTTATGTCCAAAAGTTCCAAATGTGCATGCTTTGGGGAATATAATAGCAAACAACATTGAATATCATCTAACATTGTTTAAAATGAATCCATCAGAAACGATACAGTAGATAAATACGGAAATATGATACAAAAAAAGTCTTGTATGGCTAGGTATAAATGTTTAGAGTTTCTTTTCCTTGTAAATATTAAATCCTATTTCAAAATGTTGTTAAAAAGTCAATACATGTATACCAATTATTCAATTTTTTATACCTCTTAGAATCACACTTTTGTAGAATTTTGAATAATAACCTAAAATACCTTGCATTAAATTTGTATTACTTTAATGATTTTTTTAAAAATT